CCCCCAAGCCTCCCCATCCCAGCACCCACCTCAGGCGTCATGCGGCTGATGGTGGGCACGTCGTAGCCAGCCTGCAGGAAGTGGGCCGTGTAGCTCTCCAGCTGGAACTCACTCAGCCAGTTGTGAATGGCCCGAGCATCCTTGGAGGTGGGGAGGGACGGGACACGATGACACATGGGCTGAGCCAAGGCCCTGCCTGTGCGGGGCTGGGGCACCCTGGCAGCTGCCTCCCATGAGGCCCGGCCCAGTGTATCCTTGGTGAGGTCCAGAGACGTGGAGCCCGCCTGCCACAGCCCTCCCATGGAGGCACACCTTGCCCTCTAGCAGCTTCTCCGGCCTCACGTCTCGAGTGAAGATCTGCTCCCCAGAGCGGTAGGGGGCCAGCGGGTGGGGGCTCGGGTTGTCTTCAGTGAGGAAGGGAAGCAGAACCAGAGTCAGCAGGAGGAAGGGGTGCCCAGCCCTTGGCCGCCCACATGCCCCTCTTCTTGGCCCCCCACCCCAGGGGTGCCCGTGTCCTCCCTACCTGCCAGGGGCTGGGGGTACAAGCCAGGTGGCAGGTGGTCCTCGCCGGCGGAGAGCAGTGGCTAGAGAGCAGGGATGACAGCATTCGCTACCCTAGTAGTAGAGGCGGGGGGCTGGCCACCCCCTAACTCCCCGTCCCCTCCTACCTGGGCGTTTTCAATGAGGAGGGCCGTGCTGTGCCCATTGGTGCCCTCAGAGCTCTGCCCACTGCCGGCACTCCGGATGCTGCCCACGCTGCCCTCACTGCCCACACTGTTCCTGTCACCTGCTGCGGGGGCCGGGGCCGCAGGATGAGAACTCTAGTTGGTCTTGCCAGTTGCTGCCCTTGCTCACTCTGGGGCCCGCCCCACCCCTGGGGGACACGCACCTGGACTGTCGGGGCCGAGGCCCCCTCGAGGGAGCTGACTGCAGGAGAGAGGGTGCAGCGGGTCGTCTGCAGGGGGCTGCGGTGTCCTGGGGAGGCCGGGGCACAGGGGGGCAGGGACAGAGGGGAGGCGGGGGGCAGGCACGGCCACCCGCTTGCTGAGCACCTCCACGATGGCCGGGGGGAAATAGCCCACGCGGTCGGTGCCCCTGGGACTCTCGTGGATGTGGCCCTTCCAGCGGCCGTCTGGATGCTGCTCTAGCACCTGTGGCAGGCGGGGTGGGCGGTCACTGGCTGCCAGGCACGGCCCCTGACACACAGGCAGTGCCCAGGAAGGACCACGTCCTCACCGTGATGACGTCCCCAGCCCGGACATTGAGGGCGGTGGGATCATGCAGGTTCCAGAAATCCTTCAGAGCGCGCACCTTCAGGACCCCAGAGGCCTCTGCGAGAGGGGCAGGGCGGGCTTCACTGAGCAAGAGTCCACAACACACTGTCCCACCCCTCGGTCCCCTTCACAGCCCTCCCCCAGGCCCCTGCCTCCTCATCTCCACAGCACCTCCTCAGGAGCAGCGCACCCCCGCATATCCTGGGCCTCGCCGGGTCCCCCCAGGCGCTCACCCCGAAGTAGCTGCTTGATTTCCCGGCTGGCCTGTGAGGTGGTGAATTGGTTGACAATGTCCAGAGCAGTCTGGTTGTACGTATTCCGGATATTCACGTCCACCCCGCCCTGTGGGCACAGAGCGGGTCAGTGACTGCTGACCCTGACATTCTCCCCTCCGACCTCCTCCTCCCTGCTGCCCCCAGCAGGTGTCCCTCTTGGGTTTCCAGTCTTCCAGCAGCTGCCAGGGAAGTGCCCAGATGGGGTGAGGGACGAGCTCAAGGTCACTCAGTCAGAAGCAGAGCTGGGACTGCAGCAGCCTCTTCCCGCTGATGTGCAACACCCCCCAGGTGCCCCCCTCTGTGAGCCCTGCCGGGTGGCCTGGGAGAACCCCCACCCACCTCTAGAAGCAGCCGCACCACCTCCGTCTTGCCATAGAGTGCTGCCTCGTGGAGTGCAGTGCCCGCCTTGGTCTGGCGGTTGATCTCAATCCCAGCCCTCAGGAGCTGCCTGGGGGTGGGCAGAGAGCCACCGGGGTAGGAGGCAAGTCTCCAGCAGGGTGGGGAGCAGGCAGGCGTGGGGTGGGGGGAGGTCAGCAGCAGCAAGTACCTGATGACCTCTCGGTGGCCATTCTTGGCAGCCAGGTGCAGGGGCGTGGTGTAATTGGGGTCACATGGGTCCTTGGCCTCACCCTCCAGCAGCGCCACGCACAGGTGGCTGTTCAGGAGCAGCTGAGCCACCTGTAGCAGGCAGCAGCCAGTTAGGGCCTCTTCTGGGGTCCCCCAGATGCCAGGACTGACCCCCGGGGCTTCCAACCTCACCTTGAGCCTCCCGAACTCACAGGCCAGGTCCAGGGGCGTCTTCTTGGCTTTGTTGACCAGGCACGGGTTGGATTGGTGCTGTAGGAGCGTCTCTGACTGGTGGGGGAGGGCCCGGTGAGCCAGAGTGCCCCGAACCTGCCCGCCCCACTCCCCAATTCTGCTCGGTCCCCCAGCCCGAGGGGTTTCCGTACCACTTCATAGTGTCCATACTGCGCAGCCAGGTGCAGCGGGATCTGTCCATCCAGCGAGGCAGTGTTGACTGCTGCAGAGGCCCGCAGGAGCAGCCTCACAGGCTCGAGCCGGCCCTGCCAGGCTGCATAGTGCAGTGGGCGCATGCCTGGCAGGAGGGGAAGGGTCTCAGTGGGAGAAGGGCCTGAGCCAAGTCCCAGAGGGAGAGCAGGATCCCACTGGCCCCACCTCTTGACAACATAACCTTTGAGTCTCGACATTCTCATTTGAGCAATGGGCCGATGGCACAGTGCAGTCACACAGACGGGATGCGTGAGCAAGGCCATCTATACGCCGGGAGAAGCTCTGCCCGCAAGGTCAGCAGTTGGAAACCGCCAACCACTCGGAGGAAGAGAGACAAGGCTTTCTACTCCCTTGAAGAGTTAGCATCTCGAAACCCACGGGGGCAGTTCTACCCTGTCCTACAGGGTGGCTGGAATCCACTTGATGGCAGCGAGTGGTTTGGATGGGGTCTCTGTGGAGACAACCAGGAGCCTCCTCGGATGCTCATTGCAAGGTTGGAGGTGCAAGGTTGGAGGTACAAGTTTGTCAAGGAGCACCTTGGAAGAAAGGCCTGGCTATCCGTCTCTGAACCCCACACCACTGGGGGTGCCGACCATGAGTTGGTTTATTGCCATGCCGGGAGCCCTTTGACCCCAGGTCTGAGCGGAGCCTGGGAGAGGGGCACGCATCTCACCATTGCTGTCCTTGATGTCCACGGTGGCCTGTGCCTCCAGCAGCAAGGCTATGAGCTCCAGGCTGCCCCCCAAGGCGGCATGGTGAAGTGCAGAGAAGCTGGCGGGGGAGGGGGGACCAGGACGGGGGTGTCTGTGAGCAGCCTGCCCCCCACACCCCCACCCTAGTGTTCACAGCCTAGTGCCACCCAGCGGGCTGGCAGGGGGGCCGCCTTGCCCACTGTGGCCTGTGCCCCGCCCCCACCCGCCGGCCGTGGGAGCTCAGGCCGGATGAAAGAGCCCAGTGTCTGGGCTGAGAGGGCTGTCTGTCTCCCTGCCGCTGGCCCGGGAGGGGGCCGTGGGAGCAGGGCCCGAGGGCTCCTAGCCTCCAGGGTGAAGAGGGGGCCCAGCAAGAGTCTGACCCACAGAGTCCCTGAGAGAGGTGCAGGGCCCCTGCCGCCCACCCTACCTCTCAGCAAACACACTTCAAGGGTCCACTTTGACCTGGCACCCAGGGTTTCCCACCTCTTCTCCCCCCTCCCAGCTCCTGGGACATGGGGTAGGAGGCTCAGGCTTACCCGTCGGCATCTTGGTAGTTGACATTGAGTCTCTTGGTGGAGCCCAGGAGCTCTAGGGGTCAGAGTGGGGGACATCAGAGAATCATCAAACCGTTCCTCCCGCCCCCTGGCTCCCCCACCTCTTCAAGCCCCACTGATCTCTGTAACACCCCACTGACCTCTGGGCATGCAGGAGAGCACCTGCCCCATGGCCCTCTCCGTCCCGGCCCTGTGGCTCCCACCGCTCACTCGCCTGCAGGGCCCAGCTTGCTTATAGCGGCTTGGGGGGCTGGCCGGCCGCTGTGCCCAGGCCAGACAGGCCCACGGAACACATGGTTAGCATTCCTGCCTGGACGGGCCAGGGAGGGAGCCCCATTGTCCCACCGGGCGGAGGAGGGGCCCCAGAGAAAGGAGAGGAGGACATTAGGCAAGCAAGGGCTGGAGTCCAGACATCGTGGCAGCCTGGGTCCGTTCCTGAGTGGTGTGTATGTGTGAAGGCAGCACCAGGCAGCCCTGTACCCAGCCCTGACTGCCCGGTGATCTCAAGGAGCCACTTCACCTCAACATCCTCATTTATGCAATGGGCTGACCAGAGCACCGGCCTCCCAGCAGTCGTGGGTACCTGGCCTGGCTTTTGTCAGGTGGTGCTGTGGTTATGCATTGGGCTGGGATCTGCAAGGTCAGCAGTTCGAAACCACCAGCGGCTCCATGGGAGAAAGACGAGGCTTTCTATTCCCGTAAAGTTACGATCCAGGAAACTCAGGGGTGGTTCCACCTGTCCTAGAGGGTCGCTATCACTATGGGTCAGCACTGACTTGATGGCAGGGAGGGTTTTGGGACCATGATTGAGTCCCTGGTTTGGCAGGGGGAGGAAGGGAAGGAAGGAACAACCTATTTGACCTCAGCTGCTAATGTACAGGCTTGACGTGTGAACCCACCAGGAGTGCTGCGGAAGCAAGACCTGGCGACCTGTTTCCTGATCATTGTCAGTTTGGGAAACCACATGGACATCATTCAGTGTTCTAAGACTCCAAGAATCATTTAGTGAGCATTAAGTTTTGTTTATTTGTGATTTGTTTTCTTGTTTTTCTTATCCCCACTGTGCAGTGCTTACTGGTGAGCTGCTGTCCTCTGCCCTGGGGTCCTTCTGACTCAAAGCAACCCCACGGGGCAGAGTCAAACTGCTCCTTAGGGTTTCCGAGACATAGACATCTGTGCTGGGCAGACAGTCCCATCTGTCTCCTTTGGGGAGGCAGGTAGATACAAACCGATGACCTTGTGGTTAGCAGCCCAGTGCTGAACCCGTGGTGCTATGTGGGCACCTGCCTTCCTCATTCGCCACTATCACTCAGGCCCCGTCCTCAGTGAAAGCTGGTAGCATCCCCCACTGTCCCTGGTTCTGGGCTAACTGCTGACTGCACCCACAGGCCCCAGGGTCAGCTGTCCTCACCCTTGCAAGGGCCCTCCTGGCAGCTGGGGGCTCGGCAGGGGCGGCGAGCTCAGCGCTCTCTGGGGACAGAATTGGTGCAGGTGTGGGGCTCTGCATGGCCACTGAAGGGTGCTGGGGATGGGAGGGGAGGGGGTGGGGTGGGAGAAGAGGGGAGAGGGGCAGGCCTGGCCCAGGCACCCCTGCCTCCTGCTTCAGCCCACCCTTGCCGGGAAGGGAAGGAGGTGGCCTGGCTTACCCCAGGCCAGGCAGGGTGCCAGGCACGCTGGTCCAGGCCTGCCCCCGGCCCTGGTGGGCCCCTGAATGCCCCAACAGCCTGGGCAAGACAGGGCCTCATTCCAACAGGGAGGGGCCAGGCGAAGGGGGAGTGTGGGGCGGGCGAGCAGGGAGGGGACAGCCACAGTTGGGGCTGAGCTGAGTGACGCCACTCCAGAAAGGTAAATACAGGGCCAGGAGTGGCGAGCCCGGAGGCCTCCAAGCCCCCTGCCTGGGGAGCTGGTGGTAGTGGGAAGTACGGGAGTTGGGAACAGGGAGTGTGCAATTCAAATCCCCACTCCGCCTGCTGCTGGCTGTCACCTTGGGCAGCCCTATCCCTCGGGGAAGGTCACATATAGAATGCCCTTCCCCTGCTACCCCGACGCCAGCCTGGACAGCCCTGGACGGGCAGTTCCAGGGAGAGGCAGCACTAAGTGACAGAAGGGACTGGAACATGGGCAGGGCAGGCTGGGTGGCTCCGGTTCTTCTAGAACAATGGCCGGAAATGCAGTCCCGGGAGAGACTCCGGGACTGGACTGGGGATCGTGGTGGAGGACAGAGGGGCCGGGTTCCTGGAGGTGGCTCCAGCCACTTCCCCTGCAGCACAACCTTCTGTCCTAGCTGGGGGTGGGGGTGGCATGGTCACTCCTGATTTAGGTCCGGCAGCGGATGTGAGCTCAGGCGGACACTCCCGGCCCACTCCATTTCCTTAGGCCAGAGAAGGGGACAGCTAGGAAGGAGTGGGGTAGAGGGAGGGGAGGGGCCGGGCAACTGCTCAGCCCCCCTCCCCCTGCCATCTGCTCCCTGAAGATGGCCTGGGATGGGGGCAGGGAATGCCAGTGCCAAGTGACCAGAGAGCAAATGGAGGAGGTGGCGGCCACCCCTCCTGCTTTCTCCTTGGATAGAAAGTTCCAGAAAGTGAGAGGGAGCCTGGACACCTGCCTTCCGGCAGCTTCCTTGCCTCGCTCTGGGAACTGGCTCAGTATCACCTGGGGAGCTTTCTAAAGGGCAGTCTCAGATGCTCCTAGAACAGTGGTTCTCAACCTTTCTAATGCCGCGACCCTTTCAGACAGTTCCTCATGTGCTGGTGACCCCCCAACCATAAAATTATTTTCGTTGCTACTTCATCACTGTCATTTTGCTACTGTTATGAATCGGGTGACCCCTATGAAAGGGGTCGAGACCCACAGGTTGAGAACCACTGTCCTGGAAGCTTCTAGATTCAAGTGCAGTTCAGGGAGTCTGCATTCTTAGAACAATCCCCAGGTGATTCGGAGCGTGCAGAGGGCAGAGGCTTGTCTCTGAGGTCGGACACTAACCATGTGACCTTAAGCAAGGCCCCAAGCCTGCTGGGAGCAACCTTTCCTGTCTGAGACGGGATCCACAGATCTCTCTCGCAGGGGGCTCCTGTGTGGGTAACACCATGAGCTTCTAGCTTTCTAGCTCAAAGGCTGGGGTTTCGAGTCCACCCAGAGGTGCCGATGCAGAAAGGTCTGGCAATCTGGTTCTGACAGCCCTGCGGCTCCTGGTTCTGCTCCTACACACGTGGCGTCCCCAGAGCCACCAGTGGCTGGATGGCAACTGGGCACTCACAGGGAGGTGGCGGGGATTCAAGAACCGTGTGAACTGTTGGGGTTGGTGCCTCTGAGCCCACCTGACAGGGGAGCTGCTCCCCGGGGTCTCTAAACCTGCACCTTTACAGCAGCAGATCGCCCAAGCCTTTCTCCTGCAGAGCGGCTGGTGGGTTTGAACCACTGACGGCCTGGTTAGCCAAAAAAGCACGTCAGTTACCATTGCTAGTCCACCCCCCTTGCCAATTGGAAGGTTTGGAAATGACACCAGAAATCTTGCTGTTGTCACCAGTGGGTTCAGTGCGGGCCCCTACAGGGGCAAACTCTCCCCATAGGCTGTGGGACCGGCAGGCACACACATGCACACCTGCTCCTTGGAGCTGAGGCTCCTACTATCCACCTCAGCATCCCACCTGCCTGCCCCCCAGGGCCTGAGGCAGCCCCTGCTCCAACCAAAACCCCACTGGGCAGCTGGCCAAAAGCAACATGGAGTGGGGAGATGAGTGGCTCCCACCCAGGTCTCCACAGCCCTCCCCTGGGCCTCAAGGCACCTTCTCCCTGTGCGCTGACCCTGTACCAGCATCCTCAGGACACACAGAGAGCCCCGTCTCCTGCTCCAGCACACACACACACATGCACACAATTCCTGGGAGCCTCAGAAATCCTTTCAAGTTCGGCCACCCAGATGTGGGTGGGGGTCATTAGCCATTTTCACGAGGCCTGGGGGCTCCTTCCTGCCCATGGGACCAAGGTGTCAGCTCCCAGGAAAACTCTTCGACCAGGAAACCCTGCCCTCTGTCCCAGTCCCATGACAGGCCACCTCCTGGTCTAGGAACTCAAGGTGACAAGTCTAGTGACCTAGGAGCTCATCCTGAAGCTCAGAGATCTGCTTTGCTGGAAGGGGTGGGGGCAGGGTCTCCTCCCTACACAAGGAGGCAGGGACAGGGGCTCCGCTATGCTCCCTAGCCTGTGGAGAAGCCCCAGAATATCAACTTTGGCCACATCCCCCTAGGGGACCCAACAGACCAAGGAGCGGGGGGGATGGCTGTCCATGGGGGGTTAGACTGTACTTCACTTAGAAAAAAAAAAATAGCAGAACTCTTCAAAAACAAACATGTTCTTAAGGGCCTTCCATTACAACATGCTCTATGAAAACACCCTGAAGAGTGAGTGTGTTTATGGGGGGGGGCAGGGGGTAGGGGTTGAGGGGCCCAATCTATTCAGTGTCTCCCAACCCACTACCAGGAAGGATGCCCCCCCTCCAAAGAATACACTTTAATGACCACCAGCTAGAGGGAATGCCAAGGAGCCCCGGTGGCACTAACCACAAAGGCGGCCACTTGAACCAACCAGGCACTCCCAGGGAGGACGAGGAGGCTGTCTGAGTCTATAAAGGCACACTGCCCATTGGGGGTAGGGGCTGGGTGGGTGTAAACAGGAGTCCAGGAAGAAAAAGAATCTGGAAGTTGATTGTGGTAGCAATTGTACAATTCTGCTTGACGTGATAGAACTATGGAATGATACGTTATCTGTCATAATTCCCAACTAGTAATAAATTAAAAAACAAAAAAGGTACACAGCGCTGGCAGACCCCCGGGACCAGCCCCACTCTTCTCCGTCGGGTGGTTTTGCATTAGAACCAACTCCACACGGGTTCCGTCCGTTGAGTTCACTGCGGTGGCGTGGTGCTTAGACCGGAGCCTGGCACACAATCAGCATAGCATGCAGTTTTCAGGTCTGAATTCAAGTACCTGATCACCCAGCTGACTTCACGGGAGGAGAAATCAAAGGCCACAGGGGTCAAATGATTTGCCTGGGGGACACACAGTAAGAGAACCTATCGACTTCTCTAGTTTTCCCACTTTTTCGATTAAAACAAAGCAGGCCTTCTGAGTGCCCATATCCCTGTCATGTCCCTCCCTCCCTCCTCTCTACAACCTGAATACGCAGGGATATGTCTTAGCTGACAGCCTGGACATCAGGTACTCACTGGTCTTTGCAGCCTTGACCTTGGCCACCAGCTTCTGCACGCCAGTCACGTCCCCGTTCTTGACGGCAAGGATCAAGTCCTGCTCCCGTCCCATGCTGGGCTCTGGGAACCTCCGAGGTCCAGGGCAGAGGCGGGGACAGCGGTGCAAACTGAGGCTTCACGGGGCCATGCCTTGGCCCCTGCAGGGCCAGGGGTCCCAGGGGTGTGTCTGGTGCCCGGGCAAGGGGGCTGCTGGTCACACGCAGACGATGCTCCCTCAAGGTGCTGCCACCACACGAAGGAAGGAAAGCTGATCTCCGAGGGGGCGGAGGCTGTGTGGAAATTTGGACGGATGTCAGCTTGCAGCTTCCGACAGCCCGGGACGCGCTGGCGTTGGGACTGGGCCCGCCACTCGGCCCAGCTTGGCTTGGGAGCACTAGTACCCTCCCAGGGAGCAGCCAGCATTCCCTTGGGCCGTGAACATGTCCGTCTCAGGGGTCTGGCCAAGGTGTCCCAGCCTGCAAGGGTCCCAGAGGCAGGGCTCGGATGATGGATGAGCTGGGTGGAGCCTCCAGGGAGCCCCCAAATCACCCTAGATTTCTCCAGGGGCCAGGGGAGGGGCTGAACCCCTCAAAGGAGAGAGGGTGCCGCAGGGAGGGGAGAGGCTGTGGAGGGCTAGGTGTGCTGGGAGGGAGGCTGAGTCACCTGTGCCCCAGGGTACCTGGCAGCACCTCAACCTGGGGCAGAAGTGTCCTGGCGGCACGACCAGGGGAGAGGCGGCGCCAACAGCCTGTTCTCCACAGCCCGAGGCCCTGACACCCACAGACAACTAGCAGGCCAGTTGGCAAGTGGGCCTGGGTGGGCAAGGCTCAGCGTGGGGACAGGAGTTGGCTACTCCGTGTGGAAGGTGCCTGACCCTGCTGGTCTCGTTATCTATGCTTGACTTCAACAACAGGGAGCTCTGGCCCCCAGCTCTTTATGAGCCGGGGTTGTCACAGGGAGCTGATATGATGGCTTCCCCACGGTGGGTGGAAGGTCCTTCTTCAGAAGGGAGAGGTTCACCGGCACCTGTTGCTGACCCACCCTTACTCTGTGTGGGGTAAGGGTGCAGCTGGGCGCAGCACAGGCACAGGGCTGGGGGCCCCGCTGGCAAGCCAGCTCCGTGGGCCCCCATGCCTCACACTGAGGCCCACAGAAAAGCCGTCACCAGTACCTCGGCGACCAGGCTTTGCTGCCCGCGTCCCGTGGCATGCGCCCATGCAGGCCTAGGGCCCTGGGGGGGACGACTCGCCCCCCACCCCGCCCCAAACGTCCCACGCCCAAACCAAAGGGCACTGTCCTTCACAGCCGGCGGCGGGCAGCGCCGAGGGTCGGGCTGGCTCCCCCGCCCCACGGAATGCCCCTGCAAAGCCGCGCGACCCCCAGCCCGGCCCAGCGCAGGCCGGCAGAGGAACAAAGCGGCGGGAAGGCTCCGAAGGGCCAAGCGCCAAGGGGAGCGCAGCCAGAGGACTGGGAAAGGGGGCGCGCGGAGGACGGAAGGGGCAGGGAGATGGAGGCGCCCGCCGATCCCACAGGAAAAGTTAGTTTGTGTCTGCCCCCAAGGGCGCGGACCCCCGCAGCCTCACCTCTCGCGGCTGCCTGGCCGGGGTCCGGCTGGTCCTGTGCGGTCCCCGGCTCTCCGGACGGTGGCTCCCACTGCCCCCTGCCCCCTTTCTCCTCCTCCCCTCCTCTTCCAAGGCCGGCCCGGCGCCTCCCGCAGGAAA